AAGGTCTGTCCACACGCCTGCAATCAGCTGTCCCTTGGCTACCCCATGGGTCTAGAGTGGACACGGCAGTTGTGTGGCTCCCCAGCAGCAACACATTGCAGCAAAGAGGCTTAAGGTATTTAGGTCAGGAAATGAGAGTATTGGTCCCTGGATGAGTGGGTGCAGGTTCCAGGTGGGCAGTCCCCGTAGCCCCATGGGCAGGGCCCTCTAAAGCTTAGCCCCAGGGGCAGAGCCCCTGTTATCCAGGGCCCTGGCACAAAGATTGAGAGAGAAGCTGAGAGAACATTCTGAGACAGGATTTCTGAGCGCTGCAGCCCCAGGTGCAGGTTATAGGTCAGGGTCAACTGTACCTGCTGACTTAGCGGCAGGTGCCCAAACTGACCAGCAATATTTCAAGAGGAAAATCAGTACAATGGTATTGTGGGTTTGCTTTGCTTCATCTTCCCCCTTATTTGAAACAGCATGTTAGAATGAAATTTATTCCAGGTGCAACCATTTCCTTGAGTGTTAGGTATCTCCCATTTTGTAAGGTTCTACCTTACAGCAATGACTGCAGGGGATGAGGTCATTGTAGATAATTTTCTGCCGATCATTGCAGCAGATACACAGAAGAGGAAACCTGTTTCATGCTGCTCCATATTTTTTTCTCCCAAATGACCATTGTTTACTTGAATCAGGTGTTTATTTCCCTATGCTTCCTCTCCTTGATCCCCAACCTCAAAGCTGCTTGTTATCTAAAAGTCTCTTGTTCTCCCTTCTTTTGTCACACAAAGGCGGAAGGGTCCAACCAAGGAGAACTTAACTCTACTCAGACAGGTGTAAGCCTCGGCCTCCCACTACTGACATGAATGGTACTGGAACACTTAAGAGCAGTTGAGACAACGCATGTTGAAGCAAGAAAGTGATTCCACCGAGAGTCCCTTAGGGAGACTCATGCCCCAGTGAGACCTTGCATTTTGTTGGCACTGGTTTGGCTGCGTATCTTATTTTCATTAGGAAGTCAACCCCTTGAATCAGCAACAAAGGTAGAAGAAAGTAGATACGACAAATGCTTTCATTTTAAGGGTTTTTTCCTCCTATTTAAAAGTTGGGGAGGAAGAAGGAGGGGTCATGAAATGTCAACTTGTCATGAGGCTTCTCTTGCAAGTTGTCAGTGAATCAGCTATCAGGGAAGTGGCTGCACAGACTGTTCTCATAGTGAGTGAGTTCTCATGAGATCTGATGGTTTTATAAGGGGCTTTTCCCCCTTTTGCTGAGCACTGCTTCCTGCTGGCATGTGAAGGACGTGTTTGCTTCCCCTTCTGCCATGATTGTAAGTTTCCTGAGGTCTCCCCAACCCTGCAGAACTGTGAGTCAGTTAAACCTCTTTCCTTTATAAATTACCCAGTCTCGGGTATGTCTTTATGAAAACCTAATGGTTTTCACCCCTTCTTCTCTTTTGGGATTTGGTAGAAATAAGAGTAGGGTGAGGGGAGAGAGAAACCTGCATTGGCATAGGAGCTTATGTCACACTGACATCTAGGGTGGGAGGAAAAAACCGAGACATAGGTGCATGCTGCTTTTCTTGGGCCTCTGTTCTCAAGGTTGGTTTTTGTCATCTGTGTAGAAAGGGCTGTAGGCTGCTAGCCCAATAAAACTCAGCCAGCCCATGAAGGGAACTGGATGCAGTGTGGCCTTGTGTTCCTATAAGTCCACTTCAGTCCAGTTCCACAAAACGGAGTCATGGCTGTGGGCATGCTGGACATCATGGGGACAGGACAGAGTCTGGGATAGGATGCAAGTCCATCTCCTGCACCCTATCCTGAAGCCAGGGCAGCCCAGACATCTAAACACTAGAGACTGATTGGGAAAGAAAAACCTCATGTGTCATGTGTCACATCAAGACATCAAACAGGGAACAGGGCAGACTTAGAGAAACCTTCGTACAGGAACCTGAGATGGAGTGCAGACTCACTGCCAGCACCGTTTCTTCACACACAGCCTCACACCTGCTCCAGCAAGTGGGCTCCGGGCTCCACACATCACTGATGAGGAAGCGAGGCTCAGCAAGGCTGTGTGACTTGTCTAAGGACGTGCAGCTGGAAGTGGCAGAGGGAAGGTTTAAGGTCAGGTCTGTCTGATGCCAAACCTGTGTTGAGACTACTCCCCATGCTGGCCCTGGAGAAGGGTGGTATATTAGCTCTTTCTCACACTGCTAATAAAGACATACCCAAGACTGGGTAATTTATAAAGGAAAGAGGTTTAATTGACTCACAGTTCTGCAAGGTTGGGGAGGCGTCAAGAAACTTACAATCATGGCAGAAGGGGAAGCAAACACATCCTTCTTCACATGGTGGCAGGAAGGAAAAGTGCCACGCAAAAGGGGGAAATGCACCTTATAAAACCATCAGATCTCATGAGAACTCACTCACTATCATGAGAACAGGATGGAGGGTAACCACCCCCATGGTCAATTACCTCCCACTGGGTCCCTTCCCACGACATGTGGAGATTATGGGAGCTACAATTCAAGATGAGATTTGAGTGGGGATACAACGAAACCATATCAGGTGGGATCTTGGACAACCTGAGGAGACAGGGAGGGAGCGCATGGCCCAAGATGGAACCCTGCATGAGTGAGAGTCAGGAGCCATCAGGGTGGTTTGTACGGGGAAGAGGGGCTAGGCCTGGCATGGTGAGGAGGAATGCAGGCCATAGGCAAAGGGCTCCAGCAGGGCCAGGTTCAGAGTGGTGGCAGTGGTGGTCATGGAGGCTGGGAACGAGTGAGAAGTTCTCCAGGAATCAAAGTGGCAGCGCTACTGTGGGAAAGGAGTGCATCCAAGGGACATCATCGTACAAGAGTCAGCAGGCATGGGGTCCTAAGGGAGAAATCAAAGAATCAGGCTCAGTGGCCTGGTGGCTGGAGGATGACAGTCCCACAGAAATGGGAAAAAGTTGGAAAGGGCTGGCTTGGTATGGAAGTCGACTGGCTTGGATTGGATGTACAGAATTCAAGGTAACTTGAATTGGGTGCTACGTCTATGACAACGAGAAGTATCGTAGTGGAGTCCAGTGCACAGGCAGTGAGAAGTATGAACGCAGGGTCACCGCAGAGAAGAGAGAGCTATCGGTGAGAATCCAGTACAGTAGCTCTCTAAGGAAGCAAGTGTTTCGATTTCCCTGACCCGCGCTAAGTAAGATTCTAAGTTACAGCATAAACCTTTACCACATAAAATAGCCACCTTAAAAAGGTGATCTAAAGAAAACCCAGCACCTGAATTTGTAGATTATTCTTTAGCCATCCTCAGACAGTAGTCAGAGATCAATATGTTATCACACCAAATCAGGTCACAGCAAAAGTCCAAAACTAGGAACGGAGTTGGGGGAGAGAGGTCTTACCTCCAGGGTCTTTCCCAGGCAGGTGTATTCTGAATGAGTGAGAGCAAAAGCATTCGTGTAAACTTAACACAGCTTTGGCCCTTATCTCACTGTACAAGTTTCTGCTGAGCCCCTTTTATAGGCAAAGTTAATTTTAAAAAAAGATTAAATTGATGATTCTATATAATTAACACTGGCTTCAGCCAATTGAAGACTGGGTGGGTATATGCATTGGAGAGCATGTGGAAGGCAACACTGATCTCTCTATGGATCCCAAGTATGTCTTGACTGGATAAGAGCAAAATTTAAACTTGGAAGAGATAATCAGCACCAGATACAATTGATAGCAGTCAAGATTGCATGGAGTAATTTAGTCAGAGGTGAAAGCAGTCTAAGGAATTCTAGTTTAGAGTAACATTGAAAACTACAAACAACCTACCCAGACAATATTTTCTTGATGAAAATTCATTATTGCTGATACAGTTCTCTTTAAAATACCTGTATTTGTAGACATGATATCCAGGCCTGCTTGAGGTCAAATCGTTGGAATCAGACTGTCCCTCAGCCTTGAGGCTGAGTTTAGCTCTGCCCACCTTTGTGGGATCTGTGGGGGTTGGGATGGGACCGGAGGGCAATCAGTGGCTTTATTGGCTGGACGGGTGGGCTTGGGATATTCAACTGGAGGACTGAGTTTTGTGCTACTCAAAGACAAGAGGCAGAACTGTTCCCAGCAGAGAGCAATGAAAGGTCATAGTGGGTAAAGAGTGAATGCAGCTTTGAGTATAGCAATCAAAGGCTAATCTAGATGGGTTAACTTAGTAAAAGCCTTAATGCCTGTCAAATAAGTGGTTTTAAATCTGAGGGTGGTAGAGAATTGTGGGAGCATTTTCAAACATGAAACAATAGAGTCAACACAGCCTACAGGAGGGCAGTCTGTGGCTTAAACCAAAATAAACATTGGTGACCACATAAGTGAGCCTTTGATGAGAACCTGGCCATAAATATGAGAAGGGGAATGTAATTTGTGTAAATTTTCTAGATTAACATTTCTAGGGCTTTCATGGCCAATTTCATTGGATTATTAAAACTTTTTTTTTTCGTAAACCTTCTTGGGTTTCTCTTCCCTATTCTCTTCGAGAAGGTTGGTTGGAGAAAGATGACTTCATATATTTGGGGGCGTTTGTGGGGTTTGAGTCAACACTCGGGGCCATACACCAAGAGAAGAATTAAAGCCATGGAAATCATGATGGAAGATTGAGATTTTAAAAATTAGCACTGTCAGATTTACAAAGGCAGGTGGAGTCTTCTCAGTGAAGGTCCCAGGAAGTGGGGATAGAGTGTCATCTCTGGGGACAAGATGGCCCAAAAGGAAGCTGAACCCAGGACCTCCTGGCAGTTCAGGGAGGACCTTTGCTGATGGGAATGGCCTTGTACTCTACTGTAATGATTCTATCTGACGGAGTGGAGGAGTCCCTATGTGGGGGCCCCTGCCCCATGCAGGGGACAGTTGGGGAGCTCTGCCATGTCACCAAGGAAGGACGGACAGCATGCTATTTATGTCTAACCACAGTGTCCTCCTTCATATCAGAAGGGCTCAGAGGTGGAAGTGAAGTCATTCACAATTTCCATTTCTTCCCTTCCAGTTACCTTAGAGCAGTTCTCCCTGGCAGTGAAGAGCTGTCCTGACCAAGAGGACCAGACTTTGTTAATGAAGGTAGGTTATCAGATAAAGAACTTATTTCCTGAAGGCTCAGAGCGTTTTTATTGCCTTGAGGAGAGTTTCATATTTACAAGCGGGAGTAAATTTATCATCTCTGAATCGTGTGCTCCAGGGGGATAAGCTTGTCATAGGCGAATTGGAGGGTTGCTGGTTAATGAGCACCACTGCTGCCTGCAGAGTGCGGGAAAGTGACAGGAGAGTGGGTGTCCACATGAGTGGGGAATCTATTTAACTCTCCAGAGGGCTCAGTTGGTTCTATTTAAACTTATCCGACAGAGTCTTGATGCTTTTTTTTTTTAAGCAGATTTATGAGGCTTGGCCAAATTCCATATCTCCTACTTTATTTTTAATTAAGACAAAGGATTCCATACGTTCCCAGTCTGCTGCTTCCTACTTTTGTCACTGTAAGGAATGCTGCACAAATTAGACTGTTCATATTCACCACCAGAATGAGCATCTCATGTCATGGATTCCTTGCCCTTGAGTGGAAGACAAACTTCTTCCCCCCAGCCCCCCATGCCAAGTAACAATTGGTTTATTTCCTTCCAAATGACAGGAGCAGAGGCGTTTCCAAATGGTATAACCTACACTTAGGCTGCATCCCTAGGTGAGCCAAAAGTGTGGAAAATCCTGGCAAGCTGCCCACCTGGCTTTAATTAAAACTTTGTCTTTGCAGCAGAGAGCAGTACACAGCAGCAGATCGCAAAGGTGCACACACACACTTTCCCACCACTGACTAAGACTCATGCTTTCACACAGAAACCCTGCAGACTGACCTTGAGACACAAATATTTCCATGATGTCACTTCAGTGCTGTACCATCAGGAAACCGCGTGCACCAGGAATTGCATTTCTTTACCTAAAAACCAGTTTCTTTACCAGGTGTCCTCTGACTTTAGAAATGGGTGGAAAAAAATAGGGTGTCACTCTGAGGGATTTTCAACTCATTTGCCTAAGATGTGATATTTTTGGTCTTCAAAAAAAAAAAAAAGCTTTCAGTGATGTTAGTTTTATAATGAAGTGTTGCCCATACCAAGTGTTGGGTTTGTCTGGGAACCCTGATTTGTCAGAGTTCTGGGCGTCTGATACACTGATTTAGAATGATACAGATTCAGGCACATCGGCCTTTCTTGTTTTCCACGCTTAATTCTGTTTCCTGCTTTAAGTTCTGTTCTGCAACGACCTTTCCTTTCAGATGCAGGCTGGCTTTCCGTGACCTTGAAGCAGCTTTTGGGCCCTGGATGCTCACCTCTTTTCTCTGCTCACCAGCCTCTGGTCTTTCTTCCCTCCATCCAGTGTTTTCTCCTACCATCTGCTTCTTCTTGCTTCTCTCTTGTTCATCCCCTACTGTCCATCCCTTCCCATTTTCAGGGGGTGAAATCCTGGGCTCCCCTGGATGTTACGTGGGCATCTCAGAGGCATTTTGGGGTAGAGAGGGCAGCGACGGAGCCCAGCCCCAGAGACCACACCTCCAGGCCTGCTTCTAGTGGTCCTCATGGCCTCCCCGACTTGAGAGGCCACAGCCTCCTCTGAGTTTCTTCACATCTAGAGCGAGAGGTGAAAAGAGATGCTACCCAAAGGCCCCTCCTCCTCTCACCATTTCACCTTCTTGCTGACTTTCATGGTATTCTGGCTGGCTTCTGTAGCACATTCAGTTAGAAACTAACAGCTTGGGGGTGGGAGAGGAAGGCTAAGATGGCCTGAGGTTTCCTGGAATTCGCGTGACCTCCAGTGGCATTCAGTCCTTTGTGTCTTACCTGTTGGTTTCTGCCGATTGTGTGGCCTCAGCAACAGAGGATGATTTCTGTGGGTGTATTCTCAATATTTGCAAATATTTGAACAGGTATCATCAAAGAAAGAAGTTTCACTGAACAAAAAACGTGTGCTGAGTTCATATATACTGAAACTATTTTATGATTTTTTTCAGGAGATTGAGGTTTTCTAATGTCACATATCAGAAGGCACCATGTGGGTGTGACAACGGTATGCCGGGTGTTTGTAGATGTTATGTGAGAAAACCTATTCAGGGTGACAGTAGATTATTTTGACTACAGTCAGCCTGCAGGTGATTGTATGTTTGCTCTAGTGAGCTATCCACTTTGCAGGCTGTCTGAAATAAATTCACTTCTTTTTTATTTGAGATGGAGTCTTGCTCTGTTTCCCAGGCTGGAGTGCAGTGGCGCGATCTTGGCTCACTGCAAGCTCTGCCGTCCAGGTTCATGCCATTCTCCTGCCTCAGCCTCCTGAGTAGCTGGGACTACAGGGGCCCGCCACCATGCCTAGCTAATTTTTTGTATTTTTAGTAGAGACGGGGTTTCACCGTGTTAGCCAGGATGGTCTCAATCTCCTGACCTCGTGATCTGCCTGCCTTGGCCTCCCAAAGTGCTGGGATTACGAGCGTGAGCCACAGCGCCCGGCCAATAAATTGACATATTTAACTTAACCTCATGAAAACTTGTGGGAGGCAAAAAACGTAGATCTGGGCCAAATATGATTTTGTTTTGTTTTGTTTTGAGGCAGAGTCTCACTCTGTCGCCCAAGCTGGCGTGCAGTGGCGCGATCTCAACTCACTGCAACTTCCACCTCCTGGGTTCAAGGAATTCTCCTGTCTCAGCCTCCCCACTGATTGGGATTACAGGTGTCTGCCACCACACCTGGCTAATTTTTTGTATTTTTAATAGAGATGGGGTTTCACCATATTGGTCAGGCTGGTCTTGAACTCCTGACCTCAAGTGTTCCACCCGCCACGGCCTCCCAAAGTGCTGGGATTACAGGCATGAGCCACTGCACCCAGCTGATATTTTTAAAAATTATATTTTGCATGCATTCCTACATTGTCATACGTTCCAATGTTGGATTCTACATTGTCAAAGGTCATTGAGACCTGAGGACAAATATTTAAAGGGGTACCATTAAAAATGCAGCTTGTATGGCAGGCATGGTCCATGATTGCCCCAGGCAGCCTAATTTTGACTGAAGTCCAAAGCCCCTCCCTCAATCACATAGCTCCGCCTTCTCTAACCTGTGAAGATGCTCTATAGAGAGACTGCCAAGAAGATGCAAGAGATGAACTCACAGCTAAGCAGATGACTAAACCAAGGTCAGATCCCCTGCAAAGACAAAAGCATTGAGATTTTGAAGATAGCACAAGCCAGAACCTTCATCTGACAACCAGGAAGAGCAGGAGGGACAGGAAAAGAAGTGACTAGCCACCACTGCATAGCTAGTCAGCCAGCAATAGAACTAGGACCAGAAAGCCAGGATCCCCAGACTCTCATGCTGGGCTTCTTCCTGCGGGGCCCACTCAGACGAGCAAATTCATAGAAGAATCCACCACTCCACCCCTTCACCAACAGGAGAGCACACACAGGAGGTGTGACTGCAGTGGAGCATGAGGGGTACTGTGGTAGCAGGCTTCTGGAGTCGCTCTTAAGGCTTGTTAGTCACACTCTTGTTGCTGAGGGTCCTGTAAGACAGGACAAAGCCACTTTCTCTGTGACTCAGTTTCCCAGCTACCAAGCAGAGGTAGAAGCTGTTACTGGCTTAAGGTTTGTGCCCCACTGCAGACCCAAGAAGGGGCTAGGGAAACGGTACCCAAGGGTAAGGTAGCTGTTATCAGGAGTTGCCTCTCAGATTTCACTACAATTTGAACCACAGAACAGTATTTAGATTCCATAAATTACTCATTTGATCCTGTTCGCGTTTGATCTCCATACCTACCTGTTTCTTCACTGATTCTTAGTCCTGTTTGCCAATTAATCTCTTTGGTCCCTCTCGGTCACTACCTTGGAGAGCCCATTTGCCCTTGGCTCCGCCTGCAGTCCCCTGTGACTCCAGGTGTCACCTGAGCTCACGTTCAAGCAAGCTCAGCAAGTCTAAACCCCACCAGTATTTGTCCTCCCATCCCACCATCTAGGAACTGTGGGGTAGTCTAGGATGCTTCCCTGCCCTGGAGCTGCTACAGAAGCTTCCATATGTCTGTTCATCCTCTGCAGCCTCTTTCAGGTCCTCCATCTCCCCCTGTCTCAGCAAAGAGTACTTGGACCTGACCCCTTAAGGACAAGTTTCTATCCCCACTCTGCCAGCAACTGGAGTGTAACCTTGGGCAGGTCACTTTTATCTCTTTTAGCCTAATGTCCTCTTCCAGTAAGAGAGGAGGTAAATTAGACCACCCCAAAGACCCTTCTAGCATCACACTCTGCAAGGTCATGAGTGAAAATTACCGACAAGGCTGCAGTTCTAAATATGCTTGAGAATGAACCAACCTGGCCTTCTACCACTCATCTCTTTCCTCTAGGCACTGCCAAGTGAAATTTCTTGGGGCCCCACGTCCTACATGTCACTCTGGATGCATTTCTAGCCTAACTCCTTCCATCTTTGGAATAGGGTAATCACAAAACTTATCATCCAAACATGGATTTTGTGTGTGTGTGAGTAAAAGGGGCACCATTAAAAATAGAACTTGGATGGCGGGCATAGTCCAGGACTGTCCCAGGCAAACCAGGGCATTGGGTCAGCCTAGTTTTGAATCAAGGCCAAAGCCTCTCCCTCAATGACATGGTTTGACTTTGCCTAGCAGGCCTCTTTCTCAGTGCTTGGTCCAGACCCTCTCTGTCCCCTACAGGATTGTCCCCTCTTAAAAATCAGAGCCTCTGTTTAGTGTGGAAGTTGGCAGGAAGACAGATCTCTTGGTGGCAGTCTGTGCTCGCACCATCATGTACTGAATGTAAATGATCACACCTCCTCATTTTGTTCTTGCACACCTGGGAGTTTCTTACACATCTGGCAGCAGCTGCCTCCAATTTGGGTGGGAGATAACAGCCCCAGCCAGGGGCCTAGATGGGACTAAAACGTCCTGAAGCCATCGCCTGCAGAGCCTCCCTGCCTCCCTCGGAAAAGCTGGAAAATATTTACATAGAATGGTCGGAGGAAAGTGGCCCTTGCTGGTAAATGCTTCTGACCAGGTCAGGAGACAAGAGCTAGTATTGAAGGAG